GTTCCCCCTTACTTGTGAATTGCTGTGGGTGATAAAGTTAAGAAAACAGTTTTAAAAGTGACACATTTGAATCTGCAGAGATAATGTTAACACATTTATTTTTGAACTTATTTTAAGATTACTTACAGACAATGTTACCTCATGTTTTTAGTTAAAAAGTATTGAATTCCCTACAAATACTGAAGCGGGCGCTGCAAAACCTTTTGAACAATAATTAATGTAATTCTTAGTATAGTTCTTTTTTTTTAACTTAAACTATTATTATTATTATTTATTTTATTATTATTATCATTCATATTTTAATTAATTCAATACATTTTAGCATCTACAGTCCTTTATTGTCCAATTATTTGGCCAATTTCTCCAGTTTAAGTGTGTGGCAACTGCATTAAAAAATGTTTGCAAATACATTTGAGACACATACGTACATGGTAAGAAAAGTGCTTTTAAATTGTATTTTTATAATATAAATACACATAACAATGAATATAAGTTTATATATATATATATATAAAGAAAACAATGTTTCTGAATTGGTGTGGTATCTTTATGAATATGCTGATGTTACCACACTGACAGTGTGATCTTTAAATACTGAACTTCCTGTGGGTGGGCTCAGAATGGAGACATAACGCCATTTTATTTTCAAGTGGCCCCCTGAAGAGTTGCCTCTTGTGTCTCCACTGGTGACATCGCTCTCAACACTACCCACACACACTGGAGTCATCGAGCAGACATGCTGCCTAACACAACCCCTCTGAGCAACGCAACCTACTGTATGACATATTTACAGTAGAAAACACACAGAGTCATGCTGTACAGTGACAGGGCTGCCTGTGACTTCATCAACCAAAGAGATTATCCTCCGTGACTCAGGTGGATGGTGACGATTCTGTTTATTTGTGTGTGGTTTTATGTGTGTTTGTGTGAGAGAGGGTGTGTGTATGACAGTGCAGTGACAGCGTGAGAGCAGATAAAAGCTCAATTGGAAAGAGGGCAGACATGATCCATTCCCAAAGTGAAAGATAAGGCCAAGAAGAACTGTTTGGAGATTTCAAACGGACTTTCAAAGCAGCAACATTTCCATTTTGATTGCCTTCTTCGTTTCCTAAAGCCTGCAGGCTCCACAGAGTTACACATATGACTCTGCTTGTTGACTGCTTGGACTAAATAACATCCTATTCTTCCTCTGAGACTGGACAAGGCCCGTAGCAACAGGAGTCAGTAACCTTTCTGTTATGAGGTGACCATCCTGGAGTACAGACTTATTTTTAGATCCTCTATTCATGATCTATTTTGAATAAAAAAAGCACCAGGCTGCAACCATCACACAATCTCACTAGCATCTGATAAGGTTGCTCAATTAAATTCCTGCATTTGCGGTAGTTGATGTATTTGGCAGCAGTTTAGTTACGTTTATTAGTTTATAGAGTCGTGGACAGTCCCCATCGATCAACTGTCACAAAAAACAGTAAATGGGGCAGCTTTTTGCAAACATTGCTAATTTCCAGCTGTTGTCCCCGACCAGATGATAATGGACACCCTTAAAATCACAGATTTGGTGCTATTGGCCATGTGAGCTCTACGTGACCCTCTGTTGTTGTTTATCCCTGGATGACAAAAGCTTAAAACTAAATAAACTCATGTAATGTATTCAAAAAGTCACCATTCACTGGTGCTTGTTAAGTGGTTTATGTAGTTTTGAGACAGGCCGTGACAGAAAAGTGAATTAAACGCACAATTATTTTATTTATATAAAATATATTATTTATAATCCTTTATTAGGGGTCTCTCAATAAAAAAAAAACCTATACGTTGGTATCTACGTTGATATCAACCTTAGTAGCTTTATGCAGTTGCGTGGGAAGACAGTACTCACCATCCTTGCAGTCAGTACTTCCTGGTAAAGATTCACTTATTGTTCATTGCTCACAACGTTTTTTAACCGGAGCCAAAGTATTCGTGTGTTGCTTGCTGCTGCAAGGCAGACCACAGACATCACAGAGTCTCTGCGAGTAGATTTGCTACTTATGTTTGCTCATCTTTTAAATGGTAGCCAAATTATCCGTACAGGTCTTTAGCTCTCCAATACAAACTAACAGAGTGTTAAAAAAAACTGTAAAACATTGAATAAAACAGTTTCACAAAAAAGCAGTAGAAACGTACAAGCAGAGCTTCTACTACCATTTGCTCACCTTGTTTCTCTAACAACTTAACATCAAAACGTTCAGGACGATTAACCAGATGATCCGCATAGGTATTTTACTCTCCAACACCAACAGACTTGGTCAGTGAAACGAGTAAAAATGCGCAAAAAAGCTATCTGCCGGTCATCTTCGAAGCAGCTTGGAGTTCGTTTAATCAGCTCGTTTGTCTTTGTCTGATGACTGAAATCTTCACATTTGTCACATTTTTCAAGGCTTTTATTGTCATTCGTATATAGCTACAGTGTAGTTATGTCAATGACAATCTTAGGTCCCAGGCTCCTCCAACAGTGCAATACAATAAAATAGAATAGAAGTAGTGCCATAAGAGTCTATATACAAGTGATAAATAATTTGTAAGTTGCAAACAGGTGAATGTTATAGATGTTCTTAGTTCAGGTGTTTAACAGTCTTATTGCCGGTGGATTTTTTTTACTTTCATTCAAATGGAAAAATCCATCATGAAACTTCCAATCCTGCTATTTTAACGTTTTGACTTCAGTGAAGATATTAAGCATAAACACATACTGTATACCAGCCACTGCGGATACAAGATGGCCTACATATTGAGAAGAACTTACTTCCAATGTAAAAGCAACATCACAGAACTCACTTAAACAGACCTACTGTATAGAAGATTACAATGCCGAAGTGTTCAAGGAGACGAGGATGTGGAGAAAGTGGCAGAGTGCTTTGTGCGGTGGAGAGAAGTGTCTGCACTGATATCTTCGACTGTTGAGTGGATTTCCGGGTTATTGCTGAATTTATTTGATCAGACTGACAATTTCTGACTGTGATAAGACGATCAAAAAAACCTTGAGAAATATTTGATCCAAATGCAAAGAATTTCAAAGGCTACAAAACACCTCAACAGACCCTGGAGAAGGGACACACACAAACTGTACACCCACACAGGCACATGCACACACAAACACACACACCAGCAGGCAGGCATGCACGTACACACACAAACGCACAGGCACCTACAGGCAAATGCAGATACACAAACATTAGTGCACTGCAGCCTAAAACTGTCTCTCTGTGTTGATTTTTCTGGGCTACTAAATCTGGTTTGGGGGCAGAGACGGTGCCCACTCGATTCTTTTATGCCATACAGCAGGTTTTTCTGGGGAAGGAGAGATGTATCCAACTCATCTCATGGGCACGGTACAATCAGGTAAACGCGAAAGAAAGGGCAAATGTAAAGAGCGGTGTGTCTGGTTGCTAAATAGTTGTAGAGGAGACCATTAAAACAAAAACACGTTAAGTCTATTCTGAATTGAAAAGAAATGTCTGAAAAAGGATGCACGCTGCAAAGACACAATCCCATGAACCACACAAATTGATCACTATTAAAATGATGAGGCATGCTAATGATCATTTCATTGCTGCAGCGCTAACAACAGATACATAAAATGACACAATTTGAGATATCTTGAACAGAATCAATACAGGTGGCTGAGCAAGGCATATTGTAATTGTCAGACGGCTAAAATAAAGCGAATAAACCTAATCTGATTCTTTCTGTATCCAGCATTTCACTTCATAATAGTGTGTGTGAAAGTTAAAAATGAATTCATTCCACCAGTGATCGTCCTACTACCAGGTTGACGTTAACAAATCCGTTTCTCAAAGATCAGTGTGTGAAACGTTTAGCTTGGGATTTCTCGTCTTAAGCCGACTGACAACATTACTTTACGGTATATCGTATAGGACGATATATCAACAATCAAAATAGTAGCCATTATTTTCCGCCAATGATGAATGGATAAGTCCACTTATCATATAAATACTCCGGTACCACTTTACAATAAGACTACCCTTATAAAGGGTTTACGAATAGTTTGTATTCAATCTATTAATTAGGTTGTGAACACATTATAAATCATTAATAAGCTTTTATAAGACATGAGAAACAGGGCGACTGTGACCGGTTGCTTGCCAAATAGTGAGCCCACATTTATCTGTACTGCTAAGCCTTATATTGGCTACCTAGCTTACTTCGTGTTCTTCATCAGCCAGCATCCTTGGTATCTGTTGCTCACTGACTTGATTCTCGCTAAGTACTGTAGCCAATATAAGGCTTGGTCATCTTGCCAAATAGTGAGCCTGTGTTGATGTATGAAAACTGTTAGAACTGGTTTATAAATGGTTCTTAATGATTAATAAAGTGTTTACAACCTGATTAATAACCCAATTATAAACCCTTTATGAATCCTTTATAAGGGTAGTCCTATTGTAAAGTGGTACCCAATAATGTTTTGTCTCAGAGTCCAGTCAAAACCAGAGTTCATAAATAGTGCAAGTGTGAATTATTGCATTGTGACATGTTACCAATATCTTATTTTATTCTAAATTGCTGCACAATATATTGCTGCAGAATGCACAAGAGGGATGCATTTTACTTTTGTACCCTCAAAAATATAGGGTCTGATATTTCCAATATTTTGCAGCCAAGTATACTCCAAAAAAGAACAAATTCACAAAAAGCAATACAACAAATAACTTTGTGGAATGTGTCCTTGAAGGCTTATACATTGCATTAAAAAAAACAAAAAAAAAACTTTAGAAACCCACCACCGTGCTCTCACAGCTTTTTCTTGTTTTGGACCATTCATCGCTGTGACATCGCACATTAAGGGTTGGGATGAACTTGTCGTTCACACACAACAGACAGCGGCAATTCTTCAATAATCCTGAAGAAAATATGCAAATGACTAAGTGTGGAGTCTTCCAAGGCTGAAAAATCAGCAGTGCTTTCTGTTAAATGATGTGGAGGCCGCAGCTAACCCCTACATCAGAAGCATTATATCCTGCCGTGAGCCCTGAGAGACACCCAGTGAAAAATAAGAAGCCTTGGGGACGTTTTCCTTGTGATATGTGTTTTGTCCCAGTGTGTTGGGCGGGCAGGTGCTGTTAGATGACAAATAATTGAGTTTGGCCATGTGGGCACTGCTAACAGAGCGCTATCCGTCTGTGAGGCTGAACCAGATAGATATTGAAATAATAACTCATGGATTACCAGTATGACAGAGTAGAGCTTCTTCATTTCATCACGCGTCTTCGTCAGTGCTGAGAGACCGGTCTTGTATTTTTCAACCGCCATCTAGGGAATAGAGAAAAAAGGAGAAGAAAATCCCTTTGTCAGTTAGTTCACTATTTGGCGAATTGTTAGAAAAACCTTTTCTCTTAGGGTTGAACTCTGAATAGCCCACACTTAGAGCTTGAATGAAAACCTAAATCTAAAAAGAATGAGTCTTGGTTTCTGAAGAATGGGTGTGTGTTTAGAGAATGAATTTGCATAATATGAATACTGGCAAGTAATGTAAAACATATGCATGGTTTCAGCTCGAATAATACCAACAAAACAAGTTCATATTCATTTTTAAACACCATTATACTAATGTTTTAACTTAAGGAGAGCTGCAGCACAAAATGAACATTTTATGTAGCATGAAGGATGTCATTAAGAGAAAAATAGATGTTTGGAAATGTTTGGATGAAGGTACAAAAATGTTTTAATGTTGGTCAAGTAATGATATGTGCCTTATAACGTATTTCTATTCGTTTAAATCCCTATTCGTGGAAATGGTGCCTAACAAGCAGCAATGTGCCAAAGAAGAAGAGAGGAAGAACACTACTTTTAGATAGAAACAATGCCGATAGCAAACAATTGATTAGTACAAGAAACAATGAATATAATCAATCCCATTTTTGTTGACAAGGAGACAAAGATTACCTTTTTAAATGAATACGTAAATAAATAATAAACACAGGATTTACTGCCTCACCTTCAAGTCTTTGTAGAATTGTGGGTGTTGACCTCCAGCATTTCTCTTCTTGAAAGTTTTTTCATGCTGAATGACTTTCTGCAATTCATTCTTCAGCACTACACACACACACACACACACACACACACACACACACACACACACACACACACACACACACACGTTACCATCCATCATATTTCACCACTGAAGCAAATAGCTGCTTTAAATCAGATGCCGTCTCCTGTGGGATCCTGTCAAGTGTTGTATTTGTGCTTGTGGCAAATGTTAGTCATCATAAAGGCAATATATTGCTTTCAGCACAGTGAGATTATAGTGTTTCCACAATGTATACTGAAACTACAATTACAGGAAGATATAGTAAATGTTACTATCACACTTCCTTGCAAATAACTTGCGTCGGCACAAAAAAGTAGGGTCAGTATTACAGTAATCTCAGCAAATTTGAGAACAACGGTCTTTGGACGCGGTAGTAAAATGTGATCTACTCACCGTCAACTTCTGCGGTCAAGCCTTTAATGGAAGCTATCCAACAGAGAGACAAAAAAAAGCAGTGACATACAGTAAATACGCATTTCACTTAACAGACCTCAATTGGAAATGTAAGACACAGAATTTGTTCAGCTTTGAGGAAATCTTGATTGGTGAATACCTCCCGGGACAGTTTCAAATTCTGCCAAGTCGTCTGTAAAAGCAGCCAGGGAAGGTTCATGCAACATGATCTGCTCCACAAGGGCATGCAGCAAGGTGAACTTCCTGTCGTTCCCCCGGAGCTGAGAGAGCTGTGGAGGGAGGTTAGAAAAGGTCAAGGCGTGTAAAAACGTTAAGTTCCCTGCCAAACAGAACAAGGACATATTGAAGAAAACGGTACATGTATGAAATATAGCATCTTCTGTGTGTTTGTTGATACAACTGTTGTTGTTACCTGAAGGTTAGAGAAAGAATAGGATGGCAGGGCATGGATTCTCTCTGTGCTACATTTACCTCCACACTAGTCTATTATGTTGTGTATTTGTATACAGCAAAGGTGTATACTGACCTTGCTAACACCTGGCTGTTGCTTCCAGATTATGCATTTAGTGCAAGAGTAGTGTTTTTGCAATTTTTTATTATTAGTCATAGTTAGCAGGGTAGGAAGAATTACTCAGATCTTTGACTTAAGTAAAAGTAACAATGCCAAATAGTAAAAATACTCTGTTACAAGTTGTGCACTTAAATCTTACTTAAGTATAAGTACAAATGTATCGACATTCAACTATACTTAAAGGTGACCTATCATGCAAAATGCACTTTTGTACGTCTTTTATACATGAATATGTGTCCCCGGTGTTCCAGGGAACTCACCAAGTGTCAGAAAACACAACCCTCTCTATTTTCCTCCATACCCAAATCTCTTAAGAAGGGGCTGCAACGGATCTGATCCAGATTTTAACACTTCTGTGACGTCACAGAATTGGCGCTACGGCTATTGGGCCAACTCCACCAATCAGGAGGAGACAGCCACGGACATTGCCATTCGAAAGCGCTGGAGACGCTGTAGTACATATGCCAGGCCTGTAGATGGTGCTGTTCTCACAGAATCAGCCCATGCAAAGACAGTGTTAAATTGAGCGAAATGAGGAATGGCTAAAATGCATGATCTGTTTGGTATTTTGAAAAATAAAAAGTATAAATATGCCATATATAGGTATGGTCCTACACTATATTATTCAAATATAGCATGATAGGTCCACTTTAAAGTACCAACATTAGACTAGAATTTAAGACATAATGCACTTCATGGTGAAATAACTGAAATGCAAGATGTTCCTTTCTAACCTCGTGATAGGTCATAGTAGTCTTTTTTTTAGGTTGTTTATTAGCAGTTTAAGGCCATGGCAAGTTTCTAAGGACAACATAAACAATAAAGAAACCATGCATTGATGCTCATAAGTTATAAGGACCAAAAATGCGATCTTAGATAACCTTGATGCGTTTTTCTTGGAAACAGTTGGCTATTAATTTGTTGAGTCTGTCTCAAGCAGGCACAGTTTACTATTCTCAATTAGACCCGGAAACACCTCTGAGGGAACACGAGGCCTTGGCTTCATTAAAAGGAGCGGAGGACTTTTTACTTCTGTGTCAAGAGCCCTGCCCTTAAACCTTCCCAGTTGTGAGACATGCACACAAAACAGAGGCTCAAACTAAACTATCCTTTTAAACCCGTACACCCAACAACTACTGAACCTTCACAGGAAAAGTTCAACACTTTGATAATATGCTTTTTTTTCTATTTTAATCGCTTGATAAAAAGATTGAGACTACTCTTGTATTTGTACGGTACATTTGAAGCTACAGCCAGCACATGGTTAGCTTAGCATATTAGCTTATTAAGCTAGCATGGCTCTGTCTGAAAGTATGAAACCCCAGTAACCAGCACCTCTAAAGCTCACTAAGTAATTTCTTATTTATTTTTTGTTTTATTCCTAAACACGTTGGGGTTTTATTAAGATTATGTGCTGGACTTTTTTCTTGGTTGGACATTTTGATTAATGATTCTAAGGTTGCCACACTTCAGGAAGTCCCGGCTCCATGGCTAAGAATAGGTGTTTTTTTTCACACTTTGGTTTCTGTGTGAATGAAAAGAAACTTGGGATATAACAACATTTTAATTGGATTACTTTAGAAACTCTGGTATGAGGATTGTGTTATCCTTGGTGTGGAAACAGGGTCAGAAATGTTGTGCTAATGAAAAGATCCACTGACTAGCTACAGTTAATGATGGTTCACTTCTAACGGCCCGTCCACACTACAGCTTCGACAGCTTCAAAAACAGTTTCCAGCGCGTCTGCCCATTCACTTTGAATGGGGTGACGTCACGTTGCCTCGCTTTTCG